ATACAAAAAAAGCTATTAATGAGACAATTTATACTTTGTTTTACTAAGCCTGAGAAATCTGATGCATATTGCACACTTACAGAACATTTCAACTTGACTAGTCTTATTTCAAATCTTCAACAGTCAAATATGGCTAGTGGGCACCATATTGGATTATGCAAATTTACAATATTTATATTTAATCTAATTTTGGATTTAAAATATGTGTTCTGTGTTTGTTCTTCCTATTTTGTTTCTTATTTTCTCCTTTCATTCCTGTTTTGGACTTATGCCAGAGTTGCAGGCTCGATCCTCAGTGTTCAGCGTGCAGCATGCAGCATTGCAGCATGCAGCATGCAGCATGCAGAGCATCAATGATTCTCCCTCGTCATTGATGTTTCTCTCCTTTTTCCTTCTTCTGTGAAATCAATAAAAACATATTTTTTTTTAAAAATGGTGAGAATATAACATTGCCACTAATATAAAATATTTCCCTCCCCATTTCTAGCATAAAGGTAGAAAAATACTTGCTGTACACATTGTAACTTGCTTTTTAAAAAATGTAACAATATAACCTTGACCTCTTTCCACATTATGCAGAAAGCTTCCTTTTTTTTATTCAAATGTCTACTTTTCTATGGTTTATCTAGTTACTTATAGATTGACTAGAGGCTCGGTGCACAAAATACATGCACTGGAGGGGGTGTCCCTCAGCCCAGCCTGCACCCTCTTCAATCTGGGACCCGCAGGGGATCAGGTCTAAACCGGCAGTTGGACATCCCTCTCAAAATCCGGGACTGCTGGCTCCTAACCACTCACCTGCCTGCCTGACTGATTGCCCCTAACCACTCCCCTGCCAGCCTGGTCACCCCCAACTGCCCTTCCCTACTGACCTGATCGCCCATAACTGCCTTCCCCTGCCGACCAGCTTGTGACTACGTGGGGGTGACCATCTTGTGATGACATGGGGGTGGCCATCTTGTGAGGGCCACCTAGGCTTTTATTAGTATAGATATTTTGCTTATTTCTAATTTCAATTCCATACATTGCCTCCAGTGAAAAACCTTGTATATATTTTCCTTCATATAAGTGTGGAATTATCGGTAGAATAGACATAATAGTTTGTACTTTTTTAAATGTCTTTTTAAAAATTTTATCTTTACTCTTGAAAGTATTATAGATGTCACCTCGCCCCCCCCAACATTGACCACCTCCACCCTGCTCCCATTTCCTCCCTAATCCTGCACCCTCCCCAGGCCTTCACTGCACTATTGTTTGTGTCCATGAATTATGCATATATGTACATAAATTATTTGGTTAATCTCTTCCTGCCCCCTACCCTTCCCTCTGAGATATCACTCTGTTGCATGCTTTCATATCTCTGGATCTATTTTTTCATTGGTATATTTTGTTCATTAGGTATCACATACATATATGTGAGATCATGTGATATTTGTCTTCCTCTGACTAGCTTATTTTGCTTAGCATAATAATCTCCAAGTCCTTCCACGTTGTCTCAAAGGGTAATAGATCCTTCTTTTTTTACTGCTGCATAGTATTTCATTGTATAAATGTATCCGATTTTTTATCCACTCATCTACTGATGGGCACTGGGCTGTTTCCAGATCTTAGCTTTTGTAGATAATGCTGCTATGAACATACAGGTGCATATATTCTTTCTGATTGGTTTTTTGGGATTCTTAGAGTATATTTCTAGAAGTGGGATCACTGGGTAAAATGGCAGTTCCGTTTTTAATTTTTTGAGGAAACTCCACACTGTTTCCCATAGTGGTTGTACCAGTCTGCATTCCCACCAGCAGTGTGTACTAGGGTTCCTTTTTCTCCACATCCTCACCAGCACTTGTTGTTTGTTGATTTATTGATGATAGCCCTTCTGGCAGATGTGAAGTGGTACCACATTGTCATTTTAATTTGAATTTCTCTGATGATCTGTTATGTTGAGCATTTTTTTCATATGTCTCTTGGCCATTTCTGTGTCTTCTTTGGAGAAATGTCTATTCAGGTCTTCTGTTTATTTTTAAATTGGATTGTTTGTTTTCCTTTTGTTGAGTTGTATGAGTACTTTATATATTTTAGAAATTAACTCCTTATCATATGTGTCATTGGCAAATATGTTCTTTTATACAGTGGGTTCCCTTTTCATTCTGATGCTGGTTTCTTTTGCTGTGCAGAAGCTTTTTATTTTGGTGAAGTCCATTTGTTTATTTTTTCCTTTGTTTCTCTTGCCCTAGGCAATATATCAGTATAAATTCTACTATGTGAGATGTCTATAATCTTTAATTTCAATAGAAATCATCAGGTTTCTCTCTTTTGATGTTTAAACAATTTCCATTTCCATTAACAAGATAAAAGTGTTCATTACTACATAACTTTGACAGTGGAATGTATTGTCAAACTTGTGAATTTTTGTCAAGATGATGGGCTACAAATGATTTCTCAGTGTACTTTTCTTATTATGATTAAAGGAGAGTATTTTTTCATATGTTTAAACACTATTTCTTTTCTGTAATTTATTTATATCATTGTTTGTCATTTTCTACTCAAGAGAACTTTACATACTAGTATTGGGGAAATTAGCTATTTGTGACATTAGTTACAAATATTTTTCCCAGTTTACCATTTTTTTAAAAATATTTTTTTTATTGATTTCAGAAAGGAATGGAGAGGAAGAGATAGAAACATCAATGATGAGAGAGAATCATTTATTGGCTGCCTCCTGGATGCTCCACATTGGAGATTGAGTCTGCAACCTGGGCATGTGCCCTGACCAGGAATCAAACCCTGACCTCCTGGTTCATAGGTTGATGCTCAACCACTGAGCCATGCTGGCCAGGCTCAGTTTACTATTTTTTAAATAATGTTGTTTGTAGTGTTTATTTTGACAAAAGTAAGGATATAAATTTTTTTTTATGTAGTCACATTTAACATTATTTTTGTTAATTTAAGTCAGCTGGGATTTGAGTCACATTTAGAAAGGGCCTCCCCTCTGTAGGTTTATGAAAACATACATTTGGTTCCCTCAAATAAATTTTTATGGTTTTTATGTTTCAATATTTTCATCAAATTGGATGTCCTTTACTGTGTCCAGGTCTAACTTTATCTTTGTTCAAATGATCAGCCATTTGTCTTAACCCAGGAAAAAAAATCCATCTTTAAATTACATAATTCTCATAACAGTCTATTTTTTTGACTTTCTGTTCTATCTATGATGAGTTTATTCTAGAATCAATACAATGTTTTCTCCACTTCTTTCTGGAGACTTCTTTGTCCACTTTTTGTGTAAATCATTTACAACTGTTTTGTAACTATGCTTTTTATTTTCACTACTGTGGCCTTAATCACTAAATTTTGACATATTATTCAATATTTCTATGTTTTCCTAAGTACGACCAGAAAGAGTATCACAAGTTGATTATAAATGTGGGGGTCTAGCTTCAAAATGCCTTCTGTGGCATTGCCCTTAGACAACGTATTTAATTCTAATGCTTTCATTTCCTCTACTTTACAAAGACAACAACCATAACCTTAATAATAAATAATGGTAATAAATTTTATTAATAATATTGTTAATTATAATTAATGGAGTCCTTATGAACAGCAAATACATTATTAAAACTCATAATTGGCACACAATAAATTCTGAATCACTATTAGCTAGTATCAGTAACTACTGGTAATATGAATTAATAGTTATATTCGTTTCTGATTGCTGCAGTAACAAAGTACTACACATGACTTAAAACAGCATAAAGTTAATTATCTTGCAATTCTGAAGTTAGGAGTCTCAGGGGGCTAAAATCAAGATGTTAGCAGGACTGCCATCCTTATAGAGGCTGTATGGGAGAATCTGTTTCCTTGTCTTTGCATTTAAAACTTAATCAGTTGACCGCACAGAAGCAGCACTGTAAATGTCAGAAAATGTAGTCTAGCTCTTGGTAGCTTCAAGTAACTGTCTTATGTTCATCTTTTCTAGTCATTTTGTACCTGATGACCACCTCATAAGAGAGTCATATGAGATCAAAATATTTGGGGATAAAGGGAAGCCAGAAATGCTGGTAGAAAAGAATGTGAATCACTGGTGAAAGCAACATGCACCTCTGAGGGGCTAATAGTGATGGTGAACCTATGATACGCGAACTCGTTTTTTTGGTTGATTTTTCTTTGTTAAATGGCATTTAAATATATAAAATAAATATCAAAAATATACACCTTTGTTTTACTATGGTTGCAAATATCAAAAAAATTTCTATATGTGACACGGCACCAGAGTTAAGTTAGGGTTTTTCAAAATGCTGACACGCCGAGCTCAAAAGGTTCTCGATCACTGGTAACAGAAAGGAGAAAAACTATTTTTCCCCTGAAGATATAACAGAAGTATTGATCTAGAAATCAGATGATATGTAATACGGTCTAAGTTAATAGTACCTAGCTTGGAACCTTAGATAGCTGACGATTTTGCTTAGTCTCAAGTTGTGTGTGTGTGTGCTTTGAATCTCTATAACAGAGGTAGTAATGAACTTAGTATTTATTTTGAAGATGGTGCTGTTCTTTTCAACCAGACATTTCCTTGGATATTAAGATGCATTTTATCTTTTATGAGTTATACAACTTGCAAAGGCAATTATAGGGTACTGTTAAGCAAATGCTCAGGCGAGCATGCTGTGGTCTTTGGTACTTTCTGAAGTTCAGTTTAAATCTAGACATACAGTTGAGCACCACAGAGCCCTATTGAAATGGGAAGTTGGCATAATAAACATCTCCTAAGAAGAGAAAAAAAGACAAAGATTAAAATTTATCATTTTTTTTGTAAATAAGTAAATTATATTTTGAGCAATTAAAAAAGCTTAAGTTCCTATCATATAACTCAACTGGGAAATTCCTTATATAAGTAAGTAGTCAATTTAAGGAAAATAAAAATAGAGATTTATGTAATGATTCTATAACTTTTGAAGCCTATTTTACTGGAGATAAAACAAAGAAACAGAAAGCAAATAAAAAGATGTAATAAAATGTGTTTTATTTTCAGTCTTTAAAGTAATTCTTAATCCCCTTAGGGAAATTCAGGAGGCCTCCCCATAGACTTTCCACAGTTGGAGAAACAAAGTGGTAGAGTTATTTAAAACTGTTTATGGTTCCTTATGTTTAAAAATATGTACAAATATATATGTATACAAGTCATAAATATCAAGAAAAATCAGTAGGTTTTCATACATGATTGCAAAGAATTAAGATTGTTTAACTTTACCATTATAAGCAAGCATAAAATAAAATGAGCCCCATCAGATATTTTTGACACATTTATCTAGCATTCCTTATACCATTTATTTATAGGCTCTAAAGGATTATAAAGACATAGCACACAATCATTTAATTCAGTATAAACTGCTTTTTGATATAAAAAGTCCTGTTTAAGTTATGCCTTTGATGAGGATAACATAAAGAAAAGGCTTCTTTAGCTCTTTGGCCTATGACACAATTTCCATACCGGAAGTTCTTTCTAACTTCTAGAGCACCTCTACTTCATTACAGTGCTATTTGCTTACAGTTTAGACTCTCCCTAAGCAAACTCTACTGAGCACGACCAGTAGTCACATCACTTCCCATAGACTGACTGCCTCCACACAGTTGAGAACCGAACATTGTCGCTGCTAAGAAGCTAGGTAAAGTGATGACTCCCTGCAATGGCATCCAGCATATGACCACTTGACAGGAGTGCTGCCCACCTGAGTGAGTTCAAGATGTTGATCAAGTCCCATTTGACTGAGCCTATTGTGAATCACACACCCCTTAGGTCACTTTCAATCCCCCCAGAGAAAATCAGAGGGATGGCATTGAGGTAGAAGAGGAAGTTTCCCCTGAGAGAACCAGCCCACTATCTCTACCAAATAAATGCAGTGATCAAATGCCCTCTGTTATACAATTCATAATCTTTTCAAGGAAGTAATCATCATTGAAACTATTGAAATGTACATTTTACCAGTTATGGGCATCATAACTTTGTAACAATACAAAAGCTTGATATAATTATTATAACATTTATTTAAATGGTAATTGTCCCATGTTTTATAGTTTCTTGTTTCTTTCTATCTTCAGTGGAAAGTGAACATGAAAAGAAGTTCAGATGTTTAGCTTTAGAGTAAAATACAATCATCATTTCGTGATTTTGCTTGCTGTAGTTGCTGAATCTCATTCTGAAGTCTTCTTATTTCAGCCTCTTCTCTCTCCCTCTGCTTTGCAGCCTCTTCCTGAAGAGTAACAAATAAAACTAAAGAGCTTAACAAAAAGTAATATCCACATCACTGGGAGTGCAGGGTGGGGAGGATAAGCCAAAATCATTGACTATCCTCACTTATTTTTTAAAAACATATTTTTGATTGATTTTAGAGAGGGAGGGAAAGGGAGAGAGAGATAGAAACATCAATGATGAAAATCATTGATCGGCTGCCTCCTGCATGCCTCCTACTATGAATCTAGCCCACAATCTGGCATGTGCCCTTGACCAGAATCTAACCTAGGACCCTTCAGTCTGCAGGCCAATGCTCTATCCACTGAGCCAAACCCACTAGGGCATATCTTCGCTTATTGTAAGCCATCAGTAACAATTCTCCCATATCTCTTTCTCTAGCTGCAGAAACATCACCATCTCTCAATTCCTGAAGGATTGGTGTTTCAAGAATTGCACCCTGAGGTCCCTTCTCCCTTCCTCCTTGGGCAATCTGAGTCACATCTTGACTTCAGTTTTCATTTCTACACAGAGGAATGTCAGACCTAATTCTTTGAGGAAAGGCTAATACAACAACTGGGTGTCTAAGTGACAACCACAATTAGGTGAGGCATCTGAGCCTTAGATCAGGAAATTTGTTTCCGGTCTCCACAGTTATAGGACGGAAGTGGATGAAAGACTGAGGAGAGCAAGAACCCCAGGTTGACCATTCTGCCCTTTAGTGTAGATCTGTATTCACAAAAATGTCTTGGAGCTTCTGGAAAACTAGGACCTGCAGGTAGACTGGTCACTCTGGGGGAAGTGTTCACATAAGAATTCATACTAGGTTTGCAGAATAAAAATTCTGCAGTTCTCATTCTCTGGGAAGGCAGTTTGGATAACTTTCTAGGCTGTGTGATATGACATTTAGTTATCTCTTTGGAACCTAATGTTTTTAAGGAGACATAATGGTTCTGCTTCACAATGAACAGATTAGATGAGAGAATGCGCATAAAGTACTTTGTACAGTACTTGCTGCGTAGGAACTACTGCTTATTCAGTGATGATGATAATAAGGGCTTGGCTGAAACAAACTCTGCAAGTTAAAAGCCTCAGAATCAGTGACAATTGAGGCAAAGACAGGGACATAATATGAAATCAATTTAACAAAGTAATCTACGACCAAAGTAAGAGATTGTCTATAGCAATTAACCACTTGACAAAAAAGACTACTGTGAGTTAGAAATATCCTTATTTACAAAGTACAGTGCTTATTCTGTGCTCAGCACTAATCGAAACACAAATATTTACTCACTTAACTATTAAAATACCCTATAAAAGAAGTATTGTTACTG